ATTTGCTTAACTCACGTGCTTTCGAACGGCCTTGCGGATATGAAAGTAGTACAGCCGAATATCACAATGGAATACTGCTTTTCCTGCGCACATTTGAGCAGCCATTTTATCCGTAACGAAAGTTTGTACGGAGAAGTCATGGCTCGTGGCATTACGAAATAAACCAAATAATTTCACTAACGATGTGTACGTTTCCTTACTCACAAACCCATAAAAACTGGTTGGCCGAAACTCAGGCCGTCTGTTACCAAGACCTGGTATAACTTGAAACCGTAACGAAATTTACCGACGAATATCATACGTATCCAAGCGGTTTGTACCTTGCGTTGCAGCCACGCACAGAACGTGTGGAAATCGCCGAAACCTTTGAACTTGCTGATTACGAGCAAAGCACATATGCGTAAGTAACCCTTTTCGGAAATGGTTTGCACGAAACCATCCTGTTCCATGCTCTGAAGGGCCTGCCGTCAATTGGCTAGCAATAATAACGTGACATTTCACCTATATGACACGGGCTAGCGCACCCTGCGGCGTACATTACGGACATCGTCGCTGGTGACGTTTTTCCCGAATGCACTCTCGATGTCTTGCTTTAAGTCGCACGTAGGGGTGTCTTTTCGAATTAAGTCAGTAGATTGATTACATCCCTCCTCCACAAGTCGCCGGTTTAGAGGGTGCCTTTCGAAAAGAAAGCGGTTGCATGGATGGTTGTGGGAGAGCTGGAACGTTAGCACCTTTAGCTTACGGCCATCCCGAGCAACATTGACACGAGCACTGCAATCGGTGTCTCGAGAACTGATTTAAACGGTCAAAAATATTATAAACAACATACTAGACTAGCCGTATTCCTTTGCTCCTTGTTTTGCGGCGCTTACAGCGCACGCATTTATAAACGATGTGACCATACCTTTTGCTATGATACCTGCTTCTTTTGCTACTACAGCAAATGAAATGGACGTTGTTGCGATGCATAAATAAAGTACACAGTGATTAATCCGACGCTCTCTAGAGGCTGACTTTAGGAGCATCCTTTTTGGACATTCGTTTCATAGCTTTGCTGAATTATATGCGCTGTGTACTTTATTTATGCATCACAACAACGTCCATTTTGTTTGCTGTAGTAGCAAAAGGAGCAAGTATCATAGCATGAGGTATGGTCGCATCGTTTATAAATGTGTGCGCTGTCAGCGCCGCACAACAAGGAGCAACGGAATACGGCTAGTCTAGTACGTGATTTATAATGTTTTTAACGAGAGCGTCGGATTAATCGAAAACAGCTGATCGTAATTTGGGGGCGGTCCTGTTTGCTGTACTGGCTGCTGAGGAAGAATGTTATGAAATACTTTGTTAAGGCTTGATAAGGGTTTATTAAAGGCATATTGATTTAGGGGAACTGAAAATGGTGGTGCATTATTTTACAATGTATGGAACGGTGTTTGTTTTAGTGCGTGGGTGTTGTTTCGGTTGCTCAGCAATGGCTGTGGATGATGCTATTGAGTTCGGGACCGACACATCCGCCACTGGCGCGATTTTGAATGCGGGCTGTTGTTCATGAGGACAACCTGTTTCTGCGTTCTGAAAAAGTAAACGTTTTAATGGAGGAATTTCTATCGCAGCGTGTTTGCAAGGTGTTCCAAACCTCCAAAAATGCAAAAAAGGTTCTGTACCATGCTTAATTAAAAAGTTGACTAAAACTGTAAAAGTTGAAATATATCATTAAGTAAGGCGTTAAAAAGGAAAAGGAGTGTAAAATACAGTTTATGTAAGTCCTCGGCATTTATTTCATAGAAGAGTACATTCGCAGAATGTATTGTTAATGTTGCAAGACATAGGGTAGTCGGCGTTGACTAGCTGGCTTATGGTAGTGTGGATTGATTTCTAGTGCAGCTTGCAATTGGCTTTGGTAACCGTATAATGTATATGATGAAGAGATTCCTCGCTACTGGAGAGATAAAGCGGTGTGTATGTGTAATAATGGTAAATGCGTTTTAAAGCTCTCTCTAGCTGTCTATATATATATATATATATATATATATATATATATATCTATCTATATATGTAATAATATATTTATGTATACCTAAGTATGTATGTAAATATATTGGTACATAAATATCTATATATGGATATGTATACACACATATATATATATGTATATATATATATATATCTTTGTTACAACGATATGTATATACTGATGCGTAATGTGTATAAATATGTATATATATATACGTAATAGGAACTATATATATATATATATATATATATATATTATATATATATATTGCACTGAAAGGCCCATGTGTGTATAAATGCATGGGTTATTGACTACTGTATACAAGATTGATAAGAAAGAACGTAACCAAAATGAACGTTGTAAACGGATGCAGTGTTAGTCTCTGTACTAAAGCATGGTGTTTGCATTATACCTGTGACATAGTAGATGGGAAATATATCCCGAATTATAATTCGTATGGTAATCCAGTGATTACATATGGCAAAAGGTTATGCGATAAACATTTGCGGTTTATGAATCTATGTATGAGTATATGCATCTGTTTATATATATATATATATATATATATATATATATATATATATAAGTGTTTAAAAGTCGCAAATGTATATCGCATAACCAATTGCGATATATACATATACATATAAATGGGATGAGCTATTGGTTCGCATTTACCTTTGGTAAGTGCTATAGCCTTTAATCACGCAAGGGAAAATGAGTTCGCATGACTTGATGGTATGTGATTGCGAAATCCGGTGATTTCTGAGCGGAATAGGTTCTATGCAAGAAAGTGGGTTCAAGAGGCAGTGTGTATGGAGCAATGAATATGGCGTCCTTAAGAGTGACTTACTTAATCGATGGTGTTATGGAAAGAGGGGGAAATGTACAGCTGAAAACCTACCAGCAAAAGCTACGTGATTTCTACGTCAGTGGGAGTAATAACTTGAATGGAATAGTCTGTTTAGTTAACGCTAATGATATATACGGCTATACTTTAGTGTCTTGGATAGCGAGGTAACACAACGTAATACATGGGATGTTAATGTGGGGCGCAAGCTGTTGCCCACATAATGCTGACTTATTTGCATGGCTACATCAATAAATGAACATATCTAAATGGCATATTCGGGAAGTGGTGGTGACATGGTACTGAAGTAGGCAATCCCTTGTTAAGGTGGTGTTTGATTATATGACAAGTGCGCGGACGGGACGCTCAAACCATATGCAAATATTCTCGTGTAAGTGGGGAGCGTTCGGAACGCTCATCACCCACGAAGCGAGAATACTGAAAAATGGTTCATCAAATATCGTTACAGTAGGAGGGGATGGGTCATGAAGGTGAGCCATGCTAAGTGTCGCAGCACTAAAGAAGCAGAATTTAGCGATAATGGAGGGATGCAACAACATGCTGCAGGTTGAAAATGGCTGCGAAAGCTTAACTTACCGGTTTGTTTGAGCAGGACGATTTTGTTGGCATGCGTCGCGGGGTTGCGAACACGTGTCCAGGTATGAATGCCCCCATACGTGATCTGAAGATTACGGAGCCACCCACGGAACCTGTGAGCTTGTAGTCCGCCGCAAGGAGATAGCGGTAGTTCGCATACTTCCAATGGGCAGTGGGACGACAAGACACTGATTCAGGGGGTGGCCCTGAAAAGGGCCGTTGCTCCGTTCTCCAAGGAATGGTAGTGCTGTGGCAACTGGAAGGCGAGGGAAGACTGGACAAGGTGCTATGATAGGATACGTCCGATGCACGTACATAACATGAAATCTAAAAGATAAATGAGGATGGACAAGGAATGTAACCTGCGGCGGCGATTTATGGTGTTACCACACGGCGCCAGCGGTACTTGAGAGGAGTGTCTTTGGCAGTGAGAGGTTACAAGGAGGTCGGCGGCAAATATCATTGTCTCTGAAGTAGAGGTGAGCATACCAAATATATGTTACCGGTAAATACGTATCTATGCAACATCACATGGCGGCGGCGGTACGTGACAGCAGGCTCTGTGCTAGTGAGAGGAAACAAGGGGCTGCGCGGCAGATGTCAGTGGCTCTGAAATAGAGGTGAGCATTGAAAATCTATGTTACCTGTAACTACATATCAATGCGAGATCACATGGCGCGGCAGTACGTGACAGGAGGCTCTGTGCTGGTGAGAGGAAGCAACGGGCTGGGCGGCAGATGTCAATTGCTGTAAAATAGAGGTGAGCCTTGAAATTCTATGTTACCTGTAACTACGTATCAATGCAACATCACATGGCGGCGGCAGGTATTTGGAGGAGGCTCAGTGACAGTGGCACGAAGCAAGGCGCTCGGCGGCAGATATCAGTGGCTCTAAAATAGAGGTGAGCATACCAAATATATGTTACCGGTAAATACGTATCTATGCAACATCACATGGCGGCGGCGGTACGTGACAGCAGGCTCTGTGCTAGTGAGAGGAAACAAGGGGCTGCGCGGCAGATGTCAGTGGCTCTGAAATAGAGGTGAGCATTGAAAATCTATGTTACCTGTAACTGTTAACTGTTAACGGAGATTCCCCCGTATCACTGTGTAAACTATTCTAAAATACATTCAAATTATAGCTTTCTTATGTATTAGGGAACTAGGCGGTTTTCGTTTTAGATCTATCAAGAACTAACACCTTATCATTTTCTGGCTCAACGATTTCCTCAAGAAGGAACACTCAAAGGATTTTCCTATCGTTCCAGTCCATCTGAATCTGAAGGCTAAATAATGAGGGTTATGCGTGCAATAACGGTGCTGAGCGGTTCAGTTCCTTTTCCTTGACCATAAACAAGGCTGCCCCTGGCTGCCTCTAAGGAAGCTACAGTGTTCCTTTGAGGAACGTTCTACCGCAATGACCAATAATGCCATGAACCCCTGGAGCAAGTTGCGGCGAGGAAGCCTTCACGCAGTATTGAAGATGCGGACGGAAGATATGCGAGAACATCCTCGCAATCATGTCAGCAGTTACGACCCCGAAAGAACGGCGTTACAACCGCAACATTCTGAAACCCTTACTAGCGACATTTTTCCAGTTGTCAACAGAATGCAAAACAGAGGAATGAAGGACACCTAGGTGTACTTGGTTGGGGACAAGTGGGAGTTCCGCCTCACGGAGTACGTAGCTCGAAGGCGGGAAGTTTGCTCCAAAACGAAGGACGGAACACGTACGCCGATTGATGGCCAGTAGGCACAAAGTAGACCAGTCCCAGAGCGTAACACCTCAGCGTTTGTGATAGCCTCAATCGGGGTACCTTATCAAATGATTTCGAGGTAAACCAAAAGCACAACCGTCAGGTGGCCATTGTCCGCTGCCTTCCATTCGGAAGTAAATGTACAGTTGTCAAGTGAAATGGAAAACACCATGGTCAGCGATCCCGTCACTTACACCGGCAGCTCTTGCAGAAGCTTCCGGTGAATGGAATCAGCCGCAGCAGCTTCGGACCAGTGCACTTCTTGCAGCAGTTTAAGCACGTGCGTTTATACACCACTTAAAACAGCTACATAACAAACCATCCGTGTCTTACAATCACAGCGCGCGGCGTTGTAATTGGAACACACAAGGCACGATGAATAACACCCAGGCCAAACGTAGCACAGGTAACAAAATAGTCAAGGACATATACAGTTGGGGAAGAAAGGCATTGCCGTGGGAACTTACCGATTGCAAGCGGTTTCTATTTGCAGAGTTCATTCATGCGGTATTCCATTACTATTTCTGTGTATCTCTAAAGAAAAGTAATGTAAACAACGTGAAACGGAACTTACCCACAGCAACGCGCACATGTATATGCCGCTTCCCCATGGTATGAAGCGCAGGTTTGATGAAACCAACGCAAGCAAACATCACAACTTATCCACTCGACGATCTCAGAGCTCCCGCACGCGTCCTCTTCCTCCCCACACAAAGAGCAAACCGCACTGTCCGCTTCCTTTTCAGCGGTGCCTCTCTTTGTACCCCATGTGTATGTGCGGTGGCGGGCAGATGTCCTTCTTTTAAGCGTCATAAATGTCAACTCCCGTGAAGTCATGCTGCCTTCCACCACCTCAACTGCACGGGTTAGCAAAGGCGACTTCCGCCTGCGACGCCTGCGTTCGGCGCACGGAGACTGGGAAACACCAGCCACCGGGGACACCAATGTGATCCCTTCGCTGACTTCCCTCTCCGGTGAATTCATGCCGTCACGCGTACCATTGCCCGCCGTCACGTGGGTAGCTGCACCGGAGGATGACGGCTCCATTCCCTGGAAAGTAGGCAGGTTTTCCGAGGATAACAGTTGCAGCTGCTGCAACTGCGATGACCGCGCGTAAAGCTGAACATCATTGTGGCTTGTGAGCAGCTCCCGCACGCATGCGAACACACCCATGGTGCGCTGGAACTCCTCCGTGCCCATGCTCAGAATCTGCGTTTCCAGAGACGCAAACATATCCCGAGTGATGCGAATTTTCGCCGCCCGATCAAGAACTACATCACTGGGGCATCTCACCGGAGCCACCGTCAACGTCCCTTCCGTATCCTCCGAAAACATCGGCGCACATGTGCTTATCGATGGCAATACCCAACGGCAACCACGAAGCACATCCTCCTCCTGGTAGGCGTGCAGGCTCGCAACGTGTATTATGTGCGCACATGGAATGCGCCACTGCCGATTAAATCTGCATCCACAAGCGCAGCCATTTCCGATGACAACACGTTGCATACCAATGCGCTCGTCCTCCACCAGCCAACAACCAACGCCTTCGTTGACGCTGCGAATACGAACACGAACACTGTGCCGCGCGTACTGCCGCCGGGCGTAAGACGAGAGCCTGCGCAATATCACGTCCCCAACGCTGGCTCCGTGCTGAACGTGGCATTCACCAAGTTGATCTCTGCCCAGCAGTGTTTCCCTCTCCTCAATCATGCTACTTGCACGCTGCACTATCACTTGAAACAGGTGAAGTAACGTGGACCGTTCACTCAAAGTTTCTTTCAGATGCTTGTTCTCATTTTCAATGCGATTGGTACTGTCGCATCCAAATAAAACTACATGGTCCATCAGATGCGCCGCCCAGCTAAGCCGCCATGGAATCCATGTACGACGCAGGTATTGGAAGCATTCTGCGCTCCGCAGAGATATCGCTTCCATAATCCGATGGTAATGAGCGCAGTCGTACGTATACAACAATGACCGCAGCATGCTGAAAAGAGCTCTCTTATCTTCAGGGTTACACAGCGGAAGGTGTGAGCAACGCCGCCGCATGTCACGCATAATGTGTACCCGACAGAAAACAATGTTCGCATTGGGGTACGCATTACGGAACGCGTTCACTTGCGCCGCGCACTTGTCCATCACCAACGTCCGAGCACCGGCAACCGAGGGGGCCAATTCCAACATACCTCTCACTGCCTCCTCGTAAGCTACCTCCGTCTCATTAGGCAACAGGGCATAAAAGAAGCTCATACCGAGGCCGCTGACATCCACAAACATGCAATGCCACAGGATGTAGCCTCCGTAGTTGATCTGATACGTGGAGTCCGCCAAAATTACCTCCCCGTACTGGCCCACCAATTCAAGCATGCGCGAGGGTACGAAAAATAGGTAACGAATCTGATTACCCGCATGCAGAATTTTCACTTCACCATTTCTTTGCAACATTTGAGTCACCTCCTCCACCTCTGTGACACAGGCCTTACGATGACGCCGCCGCATAACATACAAATCCCTCCTTGTTAAACGAATGTCATACTGCTGCCGCACAAAGGCCCGCATCTCCTGGGTCCGACGAAACGTTCTCATTAAGTTAAGCACCAGCCTCTCCTGCTCTTCCGATAGCCTCCGATTACACGCATACAACCAAGGCTTCCCAACTTGGAAGCTGTGCGAATGCCACAGATACGCATTCCCAATTTCGTAACATTCGCCCTTATACGTCACAGAAAAACGCGCAGGGCAATCGTAACATCGGTACCTATAGTAATCTTATCATGAGGCAATTGCAATGCACTTACCGCTTTCCAGTGACATTACTGCGCCTCCCATGCACACATACAAACAGAATATATCGGTATGGGCATCCATCCGGTAGCACCTGTCCAGTCTCCCTTTCGTACGCCTTCGCAGATTGCACGTTACGACGAACAAAGGAAGTCGCCGTTTTAATCTGAAACTCTTTCAGATCCTTCTCCACCGATGCGAAGTCCAGATAAGGACCCTTCAACAAACGTCGGAATGCAAGCGAGTCATCCACCATGGCTGCTACGCGTGAGGCGGGAAAATGATTAACCATCGTAACGCATTTAAACCACTTAGTAAATTGATTTCCAATTGAGGTCGTAGGACTTTAGCAAGCGTACTCAATCATTAATAAACAACACTATGAGTTCAATGTCAGGCAAATCGACATCACATGACCTGCCACCCTATGTACCGGGATAACACTGCCGAAGGAGCGTTATTTCCAAGTGGCGGATGGGACGCTCTCATTGAGTTCCGCGATACTTTTCGCCAATATTACGAGGCATTTGATGCATTCGAGGATGACTTGAGGGGTTTCAATTTCAGACGGCTACAAATTTTACATATATGACGTATTCACCGCCGCCATGGTTGCAATTCGAAATAACAGTCAAAGACGACCTATTTCATACGACCTCACTTAAAGTAACAATGAACCCCATTTGCAGTTATCAGCCGTTTTTAGGAAAATGCTTGACATAGTCATATTATATGTTGTAAAATCGACGCAACTTATATTTTTTATTGCCCACGTTTCTTGCAGTCCAATGGGTGCCACCACGTGGCACCGGCCAATCGCGCTCAGTGATCTTTTGGCAGTGCGGTTGTTGTACACAAGGTTGTATGTTGATAAATGAAAGTTTTGGGCCCTCCGACGAGTGTTTATTTAGTAATACGTTAAGGTCATTTTTATTATGCTGAGGAGGAGTAGAAATCAATAAAGTGAACGGTTTAAATGGGTTACGGTGGACAATAATTTTCCCGCTTCTAGCGAAAACAGTTATGGTGCACGACCCTTGTGCATTCCGAAGTATCGTCAAGGGTCCATATGTGGACCTTTAATCAATGAATGAGGATCTGCAACTTTTTCAGATGGAAACGGCGACATCCTTCATGCGTCGGGGTGTTAAAACTGCGAAAGCTTTTCAATGGGAGACTGAACAGGTGCTACCGGAATGATGCCCGTACCTATATATTCAGTTTGTGTGCGGGCATAATAAGCGACTGGATGTTGCTGGAAAGCGGTCAGGGTTGCGTATCCGCCTGATCAATATATTTTAACAGTACCAGTGTTTCAATTGCCCGGCGCCGCTTTCAGCGGTTTTTAAGGGGAATGTTACGAGAATGGAAACGCTTGTCTTTGGCATTCGCACAGTTTTCACGTGGGGAAGCCTTGGATGTAAGGCGAAAATCGGTGGCTAACAGCAGAGCAGGAATGCATGGTACTTAACTTAATGAGGACTTTTCATCGCAAGCAGGAGATGCATGCATTTGTGCGTCTTTAACGTAACATCGTTTAACAAGGCGCGATTTGTATGACATACGGCGGTGTCATCGTAGCGCTTGTGTCACGGACGTGGAGGAGGTTACGCAGCTGTCACGAGTTTGGTCTGCTCAGTCCACTTCAACATGGCTTTCCCAAGCGTCATTCCTGCATGACTAATTTGCTAATTGCACGCGAATGTGGGGCAGATGCTTTGGATCGGGGTCATGCAGTAGATGTGGTGTTTATTGACTTCTCCAAGGCGTTCGACATTGTATCATATTCTCGCCTCTCCTTGAAACTTCGGTCCTAGGGAATATCAGGGCGTGCACTAAAACGGATCACCGCGTTTCTGGAAGGGAGAGAGATGTTTGTTCGTGTGCGGCCTGGTCTGTCTTTCCGTTACTCAGTCCTCATTGGGGTCCCTCAAATTCGGTGCTTGGCCCATTGTTATTTTCTATGTAGGTCCATGAGCTACCCGCACTGCTAGAGGTACCATCTCTCGTTTTTGCAGGGGCCCTAAAATTTTGGCACATAGTGGCTGACTTCGATGGACCCCAAACTCTGCAACGGGCCCTCAACAAACATTGGTACCGGGCTACTCTGTGGCAGTTGCCATAAATTATGCAGTGTTCCGTCTTACAAATAGGGCCAAATGGCTCCCAAACCAGCTATCGGCTTGGCCGTAATGAACTACAACATGATTCCCAATTGGTAAACCTAGGGATCACGTTGTCTTCAGCACATAAATCCAGTGAGAACTGGAGGTAAGCCAGGTTCAAGGGTTTCAGTAGGTTGTGGATGATCCATAGGGCATTCGGGACCATCACGGGCGCTATGTTTGTTAGGTTATCCTCAGCATTTGTCCAGCCACACTTGGAATACAGCATCCGAGCTTGCCCACGTTGCTTCGTTAGGGACAGAAAGTCAGTGGAGAGCATGTTGAGAGTTGGAACCAAAGCGGTTCATTGACTACGGAACCATTCTTACCCAGCTAGACTACTTGCGCTGGGAATGTTTTCAATACATTATCGTCACCATCGAGGCGACCTAGTCTTGACCTATCGCATACTTATCAGTAAAATCGGACCCAAATTATCTAGGCCTTTCAATTGGCTGGGCTTCCATTGCTCCTAGGTCACCCGTTGAAGCTACACCAACTGCGATCGGATGGAGTCCGGACAGACTTTCGTTTATCACGTCGAGTGATGGATTGCTGGTGTGCACTGCCCAAAAAAGTATTGACACCAACGGTGCAAGAGTGAACACCGACACGACGCTCTTGGCCTTCAATTCTTAACATTCCCCTTCACGTCAATACTTGTTCTTCTTATTGCAGCGTTAAATCTATTACTTTTTCCTTGACGCTCCTATTATTTTCGTGCTTCTCTTTCATATTTCACGTGACCGGTGCGGCGTGGACTGCCAATTCAGGTCGCATGGGTATTAATTGGTTGACCATGATGTGACTCGCGCACGCTGATCAGACTCTTCTGGATTCCAGTTATCGCAGATGGATAATACTCTGGATCGACGATGCGCCACGGAAGGCACATTCACGGGGATTTATCCTACTGTTCCCGTCCCACTTGAACGTGAACTTAAGTAAATGGTCATGAAACTCACTAGATCGGATAACCTTCAGACTAATGCACCAAACCCCGACCGCCCTTAATTTGTGTAATCCTATCCACCCCGGAGGAACGCATCGCGCTGTTGCGGTTTGCCTTCAAACTCTAGGGTCCTACGTTTTGCGTTCGGCGAGACCTCCCATTAGCGGATAGGCTGCGGCTAAAAGAGGCCAGTAAAGACCTCGAAACCAGGCCAGCGGCCGGTGAACGAGGTCTCCGGTTGGTGGATATGCGGGGGGTCAGCCGGCGGTCTGCTTCCACTGTACCAGTGCCCATTGTGGTAGCGCACGACCCAGGGTTGGACTTTACGAGTAAATTCAGATAGTGCTAAGCGGTGTGCGCTGACTAAGGAATAAGATGTACGTGATAGGTCTACTTGTAGATAAGTCTCATCCCGCTATACTTGCTTTCACTGAAACGTGGCGGTCTCGAGACATCACGGACGGTGAAGTACATCTGCCTGGCTACGCACTATTTAAATGTGACCGCTTCGTTGGCCGACAAGGCGGGGGCGTCGCGCTTTACGTTAGCTGTGGGATTGGCGTTTTACGCACCTACATGTTTCAGTCAGCAGCTAAATCTGTCAAAGCTCTGTCAGTAGTGATTAGCCCTTCCTCAGCTCAACTTACAGTTGACTTGTGTATACAAGCCCTGGGAGTCCGTCCAAAGAGGTGCTTGACTTCACTCGCTCCCAATCCGCAAACAGATGTTTGATACTGGGGGATTTCAATCTACCAGAAGTTTGCTGGGCAGATCTTTCTTGCAAGTCGACGGAAGGTACTTTCGGTGCAAAGCTACTTGAGTTTACGCTACAAGTACCGTTGCATCAGTTCGTGGACCTCCCCATTAGGTACATGGATGCCCAAGTACCGTCTATTTTGGATCTAGCTTTTGCCAAGTCACTAGACTTCGTAGGTGACATCACTTACAGCTCTCCCTTAGGTGCTAGTGATCATGTTTGTTTATCGTTCAGGTGCACTCTGACCAGGCGTCACCAGAGCATCGATAAACCATATCCAAACATACGGCGTGCTAACCAGCTGGCAACGCGTGCCAAGACTTCTGAGTTGCCTTGCGACGTGGTTGATACTGTCCAGTCGGCCTGGGCTAAATTTAAGCCTTACCTGCCGGAATCGTCCATTCCCCAAATCTCGCTTGCGAGGAGAACGTAGGCACGAGCGCGGCAGCCTTGAATATATATAACACCGGCAATTATTTGTTCCAGAAGCGTTCTAGGTGCCGGAAGACCTACCGTGCGGCTCCATCAACTAACACATAGGATAGATACCGCGATGCTAGAAATAGTTGTAAAGCTCGACTGGCGTAGGAAAAGGAATTAGCTGATAGAGCTTCGGAAAATCCGAGGAAGTTATTTCATTATCTTAAGACGCTCTATTTCAAATTCGGTAATCCCAACTTTGATGCGGGCCGATGGAACTTTTGCGTATGTGGACTCAGGTAACGATCGTGTATATGGGGAGCAGTATACAAGGACTTTTGTACGTGAGGCCGCGTTGATTGGTGTTGAACTTGTCCCCAGAATACCTGAGGGTTCTTATTTAGCTGAGCTTGCTGTGGTGGAAACGCAAGTCCCCAAGCTGCTGCAAGAACTGTACCCTTCCAAAGCAGCTGGACCTGATTGAATTTACCAGAATCTTCTGCATGATTTGGCGGTGGAACTAAGTGAACCGCTGACGATAGTGTTTCAGACATCACTTGGCAGCTGTCCATTGCCTTCTAATGGAACGACGCTGTCATATGTCCTAACTTCAAAAATGGCGACAGGTGTCTGCCAGCTAATTATAGGCAAGTCACTCTGACTCGCGTCTTGGTCAGACTGTTTGAACGGCTGAGAGATTTGTTGGAAGGGCACCTGAATAGATTTAATCTACTCAGTAGTGCACAACATGGATTCCGGAAGGGGTTTCTGTGTCTTACGCATTTGATGGTTGCTCGCGTGGCTTGGGCCGAAGCAATGAACAATGGCCATGTAGTGGATGTTCTTTTCGTAGACTTCTCGAAAGCATTTGATAAGGTACCGCAGTTTAGGCTATCACAAAACCTGAGCTCCTACAGCGTATCTGGCTGCGTCCTTCATTGGGTATCTATGCTCTTGCAGGGAAGAGAGCAGTGTGTACGTGTGGGTCGCAGCATATTCTTTAGGCAAACGGTCCTTAGCGGTGTCAAACAGAGTTCCGTCCTTGGA